CTAGGAGATCATCAATCCTCAGGAGTGGATAATTGTCCTTCTTCGTAACGGCATTAAGCTTCCGGTAGTCGATACAGATACGTGTCTTTCTTTCTCCCTGTTTTACTAAGACTACTGGGGAGGACCAAGGACTATAAGATACTTGGACAACTCCTTCCTTTTTCATAATTTTTAATTCATCCCTAAGGAATTCCTTCTCTTTCAAGGAGTGTCAGTATGGCCTTTGTTTAATCGGTAGGGTGTCCGCGGTAATTATCCGGTGACAACATTTATTGGTTCGGCCAAGTTCAGATAGACTCTTAGCGAAGAGATCTAGATTTTTAGCTAAGATCACTTCTATTTCCTCTTCTTGGTCTTTAGGAAGAGTCTTGACGTTATACCTAGCGACTGGATTTTCCTCTTCATCGAAATAAAAGTCGAATAGATCGGTGATCTCTTCGTACGGCTCTTCAGCCAAATCCGGCGGAGTTAATTCTGTAGATTCATCGACACGTTGTTCTTTATCCCATTCGTCATTTGATGATTCTATATCTAGTAACCACGGCTGATCCCTATGCCAGGGATTGAGAGGTACGAATAAGGTAGGCTCCTCTTCTTCATAATTATATTCTTCTTGATTCCACTCGTGATTATCTTCCCGTACATAATCGTCGTCACTGTTCAAATTCCACCAGGCTTCTCCTTCTCCTAGGTTATTCGGATTAATGTTCTCATACCCATCATCCGTATCATCCTCTTCAGAACTTCCTTCTTGGTCTTCTAATTCTGAAAATCCATAAATTCTATCTTCTAATTCTTCGTCCTCAAACTCATCTTCTAAATTTCTAAAAACACTCGTGCTAGTTATATTCAAATAAATAAATCACATCAATAGTTTACCATAAATAGCTCTACTAACCTTTCCCTGGAATTACCTATACCAGCTGATTTTTGATAATGAATGAATGCATTTGGTTCATCTATTTCAACTCCAATTCTGTCAAAATTTCCTATTTCAACAGATTTTTGAGAATAAATGAATGCACTGTGTTTATCCTTTTCAGTGCCGTTTTCTATATAAATTGTACAAGGTAAAATGTTTATTATTAGTATTTTCAACCAGTTCGAATTAGTGTCTTGATTACCTATTATGGCCGATTTTTGATGATGAATGAATGCATAATGTTCATTCATTTCAACTTCAATTTCACTAGAATTTTCAATTTCAGCAGATTTTTAAAAGTAAATGAATATGTTTTGTTCATCCTTTCTGACTCCATTTTCTAAAGAATTGTACAAATGTAAACCAATTATTATTATTATTATTTATTTATTTATTATTGTTATTATTTTAACTAAAAAGCGGCGAAATATTCGAAGTAGAATAGATAGTTTCCTACCATCAATATCCATCTCGTGATAATTGACCACGTTATTGAAAGTTACATCTGTCTCACAAAAAAAGTAAGTTGGTAACTTCTTGCATCTAGATCTTAAAATTACAACTTACCCTCTATGTCAATATCTTCAACTATCCTATTACTCATAGGAACTAAAGCTGCTAAAGCTTATTGTAAGCAATCAATTTTTTTTTTTTTTTTTTATGTTACATACCTTGCATTGTTGGAATTGGAATTGTCCAATCAGATGTGGGTTTTGTAT